TGCAGCAAGCCTGAGACACGAATGTTGGCCAGAGAACACGATGGTATGGTGAAGTAGCAAGTAACTGGAAGCTCAGGGTTTTTTTTTGCAGCCAGAACATAGGTGTTCTGCGAAGTGGTCACCCAGTTTGCCTTTAATTTCCCCAATGTAGAGAAGACCACATCGTGAGCAGTGAAAACAGTGGACTAGATTGAGTGAAGTGCAGGTAAAGCACTCCTTCACCTGGAAGGTGTGTTTAGGATAGTGAGGATGGAGGAAGTAAACGGGCAGGTGTTACTGTGGTTGTGGGGGAAGGTGCTGTGGGGATGTGGGGAGCTGTTGGGAGTGGAGGAGAGTGGACCAGGGAGTCTCAGAGGGAGTAATCATTGCAGAAGGCTGACAAGGGAGGGGAGGGGAATATAGAACATAGAACAGTCCGGCACAGTACAGGCCCTTCAGCCCACGATGTTGTGCCGACCTATTATTAAGATCAATCTACCCTGCATACCCTACATTTTATTATCCTCCATGTGCCTATCCAAGAGTCACTTAAAAGTCTCTAAATTATCTGATTCCACTACCACTGCTGGCAGCGCATTCCACACGCCTGGAATTCCAGGTAGAATTCCATTCTACCTCTGACATCTCCCCTATACCTTCCCCCAATTACCTTAAAATTATGCCCCCTCATAATAGTCATTTCCACCCTGGGAAAAAGTCTCTGACTATCCACTCTTTCTATGCCTCTCATCATCTTGTAATGTGTCTGGTGGTGGCATCCTGCTGGAGGTGGCAGAAATGGCGGCAAATGATCCTTTGGATGTGGTTGCTGGTGAGATTGTAGGTGAGAGACAAGGGGACCCTATCGCTGATGTTGGAGGGAAGAGAGGGGGTGAGGGCCAAAGTGCGGGAGATGGGTTGGACCCGTCTGAGGGCTCTGTCAACCACGGTGCTGGGGAGTCCTCAACTGAGGACGAAGTAGGACATTTCGGAGGCCTCCTTATCGAGGTTGGCATCATCAGAACAAATGCAACAGAGATGGAGGAACTGAGAGAGTGAAATAGAGTCTTCACAGGAAGCAGGGTGTATAAGTCAAGGTAATTGTGGGAGTTGGTTGGTTTGTAGTGGATATTGGTTGCCAACTTATCCCCAGAGATGGAAACAGAGATGTTGAGGAAGGGAAGGGAGAAGTCAAACATGAACCAGATGAAGGTGAGAGCGGGATGGAAATTGGAAGTGAAATTGATAAACTTTTCCAATTCCGGATGAGAGAGGGAAGCAGCACTGATGGTGTTGTTGATATATTGGAGAAAGAGTTCTGGGTGAGGGCCAAAATACAACTGGAACAACAAAGAGACAGGCATAACTGTGGCCCATATGGGTACCCATGGCCACCCCTTTGACCTGAAGAAAATGAGAGGAGTTAGAAGAGAAGTTGTTTAGAGTGAGGACAAGCTCAGCCAGGTGGATGAGAGCGGAGGTTATAGAATCATAGAGTTGTACAGCATGGAAACAAACCTTTCGGTCCAACTCGCCCATGCCAAAATTAATCTAATCGCATTTGCCTGCATTTGGCTGAAACCCTCTAAATATCTCCTATTCATGTACCAATCCTTTTGATTGTTAGAATTCCACTTCCTCTAGCAGCTCATTCTACACATGCACCACCCTGTGAATGAAAAAGTTGCCCCTCTGGTCCCTTTTAAATCGTTCCCCTCTCACCTTAAACTTTCACCCTCTAGTTTTAGACTCCCCTACCCTGGGAAAAAGACCTTGGCTATTCATTGAATCCATGCCCTTCATGATTTTATAAACCTCAACCCTCAACCTCTGACAATCCAAGGAAAATAGCTCCAGCCTTTTCAGCCTCTCTTTATAACTCAAACCCTCCAACACCAGCAACATCCTTGTAAATCTTTTCTGAGCCCTTTCAAGTTTAATAAGACCTGTCCTATAGCAGGGTGACCAGAATTGATGCAGAATTCCAAAAGTGGCCTCACCAATGTCCTGTACAGCTGAAACATGAAATCCCAACTCTTCTACTCAATGCACTGACCAATGAAGGGAAGCAAACCAAATGCCTTCTTCACTGAAGTGTCTACCTGTGAACTTCAAGGAACTATGAACCTGCACCCAAAGGTCTCTTTGTTTGGCAACACTCCCCAGGACCCTTCCATGATATGTATAAGTCCTGCCCTCATTTGCCTTAACAAAATACAACACCTCACATTTATCTAAAATATCTATCTGCCACTCCTCAGTTCATCTGATCAAACTCCCATTGTACTCTGAGATAACCTTCTTCACTGTCCGCTACATGTCCAATTTTGGTGTCACCTGCAAACTTCCTAACCATACTTCCTACATTCATCTCCAGATAATTTATTGTTTATCCAGATAATTTATTATTTAATCCAGGAAGAAATGGAGAGGCCATCCTGATCCCCTATGTGGAGATGGATGTGTAAAGGGATTGTACATCCATGGCTGGAGCCTGCAAAGTGGAAATTCTGAAAGTGACATAAAGCATCAGAGGAATTGTAGATGCAAGTGGGAAGAGACTGGACAAGGAAAGAAAAATTGAATCAATAGGCGAATGAAAAAATGTCTGAAACAATCCAAAATAGAATTAAACAAAGAACTTTGGATACTGAAGATCTAAAACAAAAACAGAATTTGATGGAGAAACTCTGCAAGTCTGGCAGCACCGACTTAACGTTTGTAAAGGTTGACTCTTCATCAGAACCAACAGGAAGAAAACTGAACCCATAGGAATTAGACTAAACCAATAGGAGGCAAATGGTACCAATACAAAACGCACTGATCCAATAAGAATTAAATTGGACCAGTAGGATATAGCCTGAATAAAAGGAAGCAGACTGAATAAACAGGAACAAAACAGAAAAAGTTGGAAAATTTCAGCAGGTATGAACTCAGAAGGATTCTGAAGAAGGGTCGCTGGACCCTAAATGTTAAGTCTGATATCTCTCCAGAGACGTGCTGACATTTTCCAGTGTTTTCTATTTTTGTTTCAGATTTCCAGCATGTTTTTGTTCTCAATAAACAGGAGGTAGAATGAATAAAAAAGAGACGGAGTGGTATAACAGGAGGCAGACTAAGAAAATAAGATACAGACTGAACCAACAGGAGGTAGACTGAAGCAACAGGAGGCAGAGTGAAACATCCGGAAGCAGGCTGAACTGATAGGAGTCAGCGTGAACCAACATGAGGCAGAATGAATGAACAATAACGAGACGGAATCAATGGGAAGTAGACTGAATGAATAGGAGGCAGACTAATCAAAGAATGAGTCAGACTGAAGAAACAGGAAATAGACTGAACCAACCAACAAAAGACAGACTGAACCAACAGAAAGCAGACTGAAACAACATGGCATAGACTTAAACAACAGGAGGGGTACTAAACTGAGAGGAAGCATATTGATCAAATAAGAAATTGATCGGACCAATAGAAAACAGACTGACCAAACAGAAAATAGACTGAACCTGGACAAAGCAAACTGATGTAACAGGAATTACCTGATTCAACACAGAGGAGAACAAAATAAAGAACTGTGAATGCTGAAGATCTGAAACAAAAACAGAACTTGCAGAGAGATCTCAATAGCTATGTCAGCATCTATGGAGCGAATGCAGAGTTAAGGTTTTGAGTCAGGCAAACCTTCTTCAGAACCAGCAGCAATCTGACTGAATCAACAGGAAAAATATTCAACCAATAGGAATTAGACTGAAGAAACAGGAGGCAAACCTAATCAATAGGAAGCAGTTTGAATCAATCAGATTAAGATTGAAGCAATAGAAATCTGACTGAGCAAACAGGAGGCAGAGTGAACAAACAGGGGGCAAATTGAAGATGCAGGAAGCAGGTAGAACAAAGAGTAATAAAAAAAAGAAGTTGCTGGAAAAGCTCAGCAGGTCTGGCAGCATCTGTGAAGAAAAAAAATCAGAGTTAACATTTCGGGTCCGATGACCCTTCCTCAGAACTGCTGAGCTTTTTCAGCAACTTCTGTTTTTGTTCCTGATTTACAGCACCTGCAGTTCTTTCAGTTTTTAGAACAAACAGTGAGTGGATTGAAGCAACAGGAAATAGTCTGAACCAACAGGAGGCATTCTGAAACAATAGATGGCAGATCGAAGCAACAGGAGGCAGGCTGACCAAACAAGAGATGGACGGAAGCAAAGGAAGCACACTGAACAAACAAGAGGCAGTATGATACGACAGTTGGCAGTGTGAATCAATTGGCTGCAGAGAGAACCAACAGGAACCAGAGTGAACCAACGTGAAGCAAACCAAAACAACAGGAGGTAAAGTGGATCAAGAGAAAGCACAGTAGACCAATAATTGGTAGATTGATCCTACAGGTGGCTGATTGGACCAACAAGAGTGAATAAACAAGAGGCAGAGTGAACAATCAGGAAATAAATTAAACCAACAGTAGGTATACTGATTCAACAGGAATCAGGCTGAAGCATTGAAAGTAAAATCAAGCTGAAAGTAGAATCAATCAACTATGGATGCTGAAGATCTGAAACAAAAGCAAAGAAACTCAGCAGGTTTTTCAGTACCTGTGGAGAGAAAGTAGAGTTAGTGTTTCGAACAGGGATTAGAGTTAACCAAGAGGAGGAAATCTGAAGCAACAGGGGGCTGTGTGAAACAACAGGATTCAGTCTAAACAAGCTGGAGGCAGACTGAAGCAACAGGAGGTAAGCTAAAGGAACAGGAGGCAGAGTGAATCAACAGGAGGCAAACAGAATGAACTGGAAGCAGGCTGAACAAACAATGGGCAGCAGTGCCTGACCGAACCAACAGGAAGTAGAATGAACCAACACAAAGGCAGAGTAAACCCACAGGAGGCAGAGTGAGCCAACAGATTGATTCTTCTGAAGAAGCCTCACTGGACCCGAAACGTTAACTCTGCTTTCTCTCTACAAATGCTACCAGACGCTGAATATTTCCAGCAATTCCCATATTTGTTTCTGATTTCCAGCATCCACAGTTCTTTAGTTCTTTTCATCCCACAGGTGGCTGACTAAATCAACAGAAGGCGACTGAGCCAACCGGAAGTTGTCTGAAGCAACAGGAGGCAGAGTGAACTAATGGGAATCAGACTGAAGGAATTGAACACAGAATTAAATAAAGAACTCCAAATGCTGAAGACCTGTAAAAAAAATCAAAATTTGACAGAGAATGGAAAACACAGTTAATATTATGGATGGGTTGACCTTTGTCAGAACCCACTGGAAGCAAAATAAACCAATAGGAATTAGACAAATCCAACAGGAGGCAGAGTGTGGTAACAGGACGATAGAGTGAATAAACTGGTAGCAGAGTGAACCCACAGGAGGCAGATTCATCCAACAGGAGGCAATGTGAACTTGTAGAAAGCAGATTAAACCAGTAAGGATTACATTGGCCCAATAGAAAACAGACTGAAGTAACAGGTTTTGGGTGAAACAACAGGACACAGACTGAATCAACAGGAGGCAAATTGAAGCAACAAGAGGAAGAGTGAAGCAGCAGGTGCCAGACTGAATCAGCAGACAGAAAGAATCAACAGTGTTGAAGAAATGTCATCAATTTGACTTGCTAACTATTGTTCTGTCTGCGTAATTATTGTGTGACCTGTCAAGTCTCATCAACATTTTATGTCTTCAGATTTCAACATCTGTAGCATTTTGATTTTACATTGGAGAAACAACAGGTTTCAGATAAACCTACCATGACCCAAATAGCCACAGAACAATTCTGAAGAAGGGACACTGGACTCGAAACATTAACTCTGCTTTTTGTCTATGGATGCTGCCAGGCTTGCTGAGTTTCTCCAGCCGTTTCTGTTTCTGTTTCAGATTTCCAACATGTACTGCACTTTGTTTTATAAAAGCAGAACAATAATCGGATGGAAATAAAGAATGCTGGACCTAATCAGGAATGTCTGAGAAGGGCTGAGACAGAATCAATAGCGATCATTTAGAGTTGAGAAGAACCAGACAGAAATTAAAGGAGCAAAGGAAGGAAGCCACAGAATGTTGAGGGCTTGTGTTGGATGTGGGAAGACTTGTTTCAATGCAGTATAATGAATAATGACCATTTGGTTCACTGTCTGAATAGAAAATGATACAGATTCAAAAACCTGGGTTGTAGTTGAGTTTTATTGGTTTTGGACAATGATGTGATTTAATTACATAATCAAATTGGCAGCACCTTTTCTTTCAGTTCCAACACTTTCCATTCTGGCCAATCAGTAAATATAAATTCTAATGGGCAAGACATAATACTCATCTTTATAAAACATGCCAACTCACAATTAATCATGACTGAAGTATATTGATCAGTTGGCAAAAGTTCATTTCAAAAAATCTGCTTACACAGAAAGACAGAAAGGAACTTTAAGATATTTAAAGAAGTCATGAAAGCTGGCATCAAATACATTTGTTATTACAGCTTGATTACTCTATACAGAATCATAGAAACTTACAGAAAAATCAGAATCCGTTATTACTTCTACCTGTTATTTCCTCATCCTCTACTATCTGACCAACTCCCTTTTAACATTATTTCTAGAGCCTCTTTTACCACTTTTCAGTCTAACATTCCAAATCCACACAATCTGCATTCGAGATCTGATTGCCTCCTTTATCAAAGCTCCTCGGAGGCTTGAAAACATTTTTGAGGTCACCTCAAAGTCATCTCTGTTCAAAGGAACCTGAACTAATACAATCTTTGTTCATAACTGAATTTGTTCATCCTTGGTAACATCCTGATAAACCTCCTCTACATCTTTTCAAATATCTTTACGTGGATGCACAACTTTGCAGTGCAAGAAATTCATGCTTGGTCTCCAGGGGCTGCACAAGTATGGCGCCCACACTACTGCAAGCAAGCCTAAACAATGATTTATAGTATGATCATCTTTAGTGAGTGAATTATAGTCAGTGCTTTCACTCTGCAGAAGCCTATAGTTGGGTCTGTCTTACATTGAGCAGTCTGTAGAGCATATTTCATTATCAACTCGATTCTACCTCAGTTAGGAATTCCCTTCATTAGCACAGCACAGTGCATAGGGTAGCTTTAGATTTTCAAATACTGATGTGTGTGGTTAGGGCAAAACATTTACCAGAAAACACATCATAAAGCATAAGATGACAATGGAAGAAGCTGTTAAAAGCAGGGCACTGAGTGACTGGCAGGCCTGTGCACAGGTTTCCAAATGTCTGAAAAGACTTAACTGTAATTCAAAGCAGCAGGAGTCAATTGGGTGCAGAACAGCTGAGCACTCTCAGTCATGATAACAATGATATGAAGTGTACTTCTTTGCTCATTGCTTTTGGTTAGGTTTAATTTCATTCCATTTCTTTCATTACGAAAGTTAAAGCTAAGAATTCTGTTCACCAATTCTTCACAACTGTGTCAATCAGCATTGTGCAAGCTCAAAGCAAGGCCTGATTAGACGGACTTTAAGATGGCACATGATTGTCATTGTTCCAGTGATGTTTTGCCTTACCAGAGGGAGTGAGGTTTTTGGGAATGGAACATGAAGTGGAATCAGTTCTAGTGCAGAAGGGTGGCTAGCTCCAGCTGTTATTTCACTAGCGGCAGAACAAGGCAAAGGGGTAAGTGAGCACATTCTTCAATTCCTCTCTGAATTTGCTCTGGGTCACAACATAAATACAGGTGTTGCTGCAGGAGCTGAGGAGCTGCAACATCGGTCCGATGTAGCCAATAACAAATGGAAGGCGATTTTTGAGAAGCCGATCAATGATGTGGTTTAATGTAATTCGTTCATGAATGGTGTACACAGCTTGTGTCATCCACAGTAATATGAAGCTAGCAGAGATACTGAAGAGAAGGATGATAGACTTCCTGCGGTTCTCCATTTCTGGATCTTTCTGATTCTGTGTATCACCCTGACCCCGCAACCTCCTGCGAGCTCTACTCGCCAGCAAAATATTCTGTACCGTCAGGGCATTGAGGAGCATAATTAGAATGAATGGGAGCAGTGGGGTAGTCACGCGATGTAAGAGGTCAAAGGTCTTCCACAGGGGTGAGGTGTAGTAGCTTAACTTAACCATACAAAACAAAGGTATGATAAAGAGATAGACAGGATCGTATCGATAATACCAAGGGATATTCTTCAGACAGCTCAGGGCTGTCACTGCTCCGATAATCACCACTGCAGTTCTCCAGGTGCAATATTTAGTTTTCAGTTTCTGACAACAAATGGCCACAAATCGATCAAAGGTAAAAGCCACTGTGAACCAGACAGAAAGGTCTGTGGCTGCATGAGTGAGGCAGTCAACGAGACCACACAAGGTGATGTTGTTTGAGAATGGTCCTGTGGAATAGAGTGGAATAATCTGGTTCATTATTACATCAGTGAGAATAACAGTTAGATCAGCAGATGCCATAGCCAGAAGGTAGCAGGTGATACAACGGGACAGACCACACCTTCCTCGCAGCAGGATCAAAATCACCAGCAGGTTAACTGTGAGAAATGAGAATAATAATAATAACAAAATTTCATCATCCTGGTAACAAAAATTAGACATTACATTGAGAGAAATTAATATTTTTCTTTGTTACATTCACATATAGAATCCATCCCCAGATCTGACAGTGCTATGAAATCAGGCTTATATGACACACATGTGCTGCCAATGGCTGAAGTCTTCACAGCTAAAATCACTTAGAGGGAATAATCCATCTTGGATCACACAATCAACACTGCCAGTGCACAGGCAGTTTGATTTATTTCACACAATTTCAAGAAAAATCTGAAGCACTAGTCAGATAAGAGATATGGAACTGACTTGAGCTTTGGATCAAGCTACTTTGTTAGATCACTGTTAGAAATGGAACAAAATTTTGGGATGTTAAAAGTAAAGGACAAGGTGTGGTGCAGGTTATTGTTAACCAGAAAGGGACAGAGCATACAAACATGAAAGGATAGGACTGTTAAGAAAGGATGCTATGAATTGAGGAGTGAGAAATTAGTTTGTTTTGATGCATTAAGATGTATAATCACTTGGGTGTGGATGAGAAAGGTAAAGGAACAAAGTAGAAATTGGTTTTATCCCCGAGTATCTATACTGTAGACAGAGAATACGAGGGTCTTGTAAAAAAGTTACAGTAATCACAGGGATTTTAATTCTTCATGTTGATTGGACAAATAAAATTGACAAGATGGTCTAGAGGATGAGTTCGTAGCATGTTTGGGACATTTTCATTGAACAGCATATTTTGAAATCAACTATGGAACAGGCTACTTCAGACTTGGTAATGTGGAATTATGCAAAAATGATTATTGCCCATTGAGAAGGTGATAGTGAGCTGCCTTCTTGAACCAAACCAGTCTTTGGGGTGGAGTTCCAGAATTTGAGCTACTGACACTGAAGGAATATGGACATAGTTTCAAGCCAGGTCTTGTAATCTAATAAGGTTTGAAGGAATGCCTGGGTCCTAATGGAATGAGGGAATAATGATGAATATCATAGAATCATAGAATCCGTATAGTGTGGAAGCAGGCCATTCAGCACATTGAGTCTGCACGAACCCTCCAAAGGGCATCCAACACAGACCTACCCCCCTATCTTAGCCTTACAACCCTGCACTTACCACAGCTAATCCACCTAAACTACACATCCCTGGACATATAATAATGAGTGATAATTATAGTGTGGACTTTAATTCTGTTGCAGTGGTTACCTCTTGTAGTATTACTTCAGGATGGTGTGCTATTCAGAGGGGTATTGCTGTTATGGTTTACCTGTGTTTCTGCCTCCCTTGTCCTTTTAGATGGTGGAGGTTGAGGTTTTGGAAGGTGTTGTACAAGGAGGTTGGCTGAGTTAGTACAGTGCATCTTACAAATGGTATACACTGTGGCCATGTTGACACTGGCGAAGGAAGTCAATATTGAAGATTGTGGAATGCATGTCAGTAAAGGGGCTGCTTTTTCTTGTATCGTGTCAGGCTTCTTGAGTGTTTCACATCTACACCTATCTAGACAAGTAAGGAGTATTCCATCACACTTCTGATATACCGGCTTTGGGAAGTCAGGAGGTGAGTTATTCACTGCTGGATTCTTAGCCTTTGATTTGCTCTTGTATCCACTGTATTTATATGGTGAGTCCAGTTAAGTTTCTTGTCAATGGTAAGCCCCATATTTTGAAAGTAGGGATTCAGTGATATAATGCCATTGAATATCAAGGATTGGTGATTTTCTCTTCTCGGGAAGATAATCTCCTGCCATGTGTCTGGCACAATTATGACTTGCCACTTTTCAGTGCAAGTCTGGATATTGTCCAGGTCTGCTGCATTTGGACATGGACTGCTTCAGTATCTGAGGAGTTTCCAACGGTGCCAGATATTGTGCAATCAACGGCAAACTTCCCCACTTCTGACCTTATGATGGAGGGAAAATCATTAATGAAACAGCTCATGATCGTTGGGCCTAGGACACTCCACTGGGGAACTTCTGCAGCAATATCCTGGAGCTGAGATGGCTGACTTCCATTAACCACAACCATCTTCCTATATGCTAACTATGACTGTGGAGAGTTTTCCTCTGATTCTCAATGACTCCAGTTTTGCTGGGCTCCTTGAAGCCACACTTAGTCAATGTGTTTAACTTGCATTTTAAAAATGTAATGGAAAAATAATGGGACTTGGCATAAACAAGTAACCAGGTAACCCAAAACTATAGAATTATTTTTTAAAAACTCACAAAATTACAGATGAGTTAGTCATAATGTTCCAGAGCTCTTTAAATTCTTGGATTAGAAAATTGCAAATGCCACTCCTGTATTTAAGAAGAATAGGAGGGAGAAGCAACAACAAACTGATACATTCATGTTAGTTCTTGGAAAGTTCTTGGAAATGTCAAGAAGGCTGCCCATTTCTAGAGGTGTAATCTGATCAACATGAGTTGAAATGGATTTGCAAAGGTTTGTCAATACCTGGGTAACCTGGTTGATTTTGTTGAAAAGGTCATTTGCATGGTGGACAGCAGAGCTTCTATGAATTTCGTTTGTGTGATGACATTAGATAAGATCCTGTTACAGTGAAAGTTAGTAAAATAAACTGAAAGTAATCTTATGAAATGTATTGTTTATTGAGGGTGGTGACATAGATTTTGGACAAAACATCTGTTCCCTAATTGGTCATGGTTATCCAGCTATTCAATGAACATGAATTACTTAGCCGAAGTGACAGAGAATTGGATATCCAAATTTTGAGATCACATCAAATTAAGAGTCTGTGGGAAGGTTCTACAATAGAGGGACATAGATGGACTAAGTGAGTGGGGTTACTAAGGGTCACTGTTTCTTTTTCTAGTCGAAAGCCTCCACTGGATATAACAAATTTTAAATTTATCCAGGGCCAATGATGTAGGTTTTAGACTGTATTTAGATGGTGAAAAGGTAGATGTGAATTATATTCCAACATCCCAAACTTAACATGAGGCAAATAAGGATACAGCCAAGTTATGGTCAGACACGTCAAAGGATATTAAAGAGGAAATTAACAAGATTGATCAACAAGATTGAGCAGATTTCTCAGCAACTCCCCAGATGTTAGTAACACTGCAGATAGTCAAACCTCATTAAAAATTCACAAAGGATGACAATTCTTCACTTTCAGTGACCTGGCCTTGAAACTCCTTCAAAGTCAATTCTGTCATATTGTGTCATATTGTTTCAATGACTGTTCATATTCTGATTGTTCACCTTCCTTTCCCAGGACTATGGTCCCTTAGCTTCTTGGAAATTGCACTTTACTCACAGGTACAACTCAAGCTTATCACTGGCTGCTAGATTCACCCAGTTGGTGCTAAACCTGGATTTACTTCCTGATCTCTACCTGAATCAGATGTACAAAGCAAAAATTGCTTATGGGCTTTCAAACCATACTTTCTGATTGACTGCACAATTAGTGTCCATTGGCTTCTTTCAAACCCTTCACAACTCCCAGGGCTTCCCTGAGCCCTCACTATACAAAACTATTCAACAGCTCTGCGAGTTTCCTAAGCCCCAACTTTACATAACTCGTGTTCAGTTGATTCCAACAGCACAATGAAGACCAACTCTAAGTGACCTATTGGAACCCTTTCAACTGGATCTGCCCTATTTCTAGACAGAACTGATTGTAACTAATAGTTTGGAAGACTGAAATGTAGCAAACACTTATGGGACTATATTCCTTGAATGTTATAATGTTTGCCAAGTGCTGGTTTATAGCACAAATTGAATGCAACCAAAAACAAAAGGAAATTCATCACAATGCACAACACAATGAGATCACTTTTTGAACTTTCAGGGCTATCAATTTCACATCTGGAAAAGTTGAAACGAAATACTTACTTAATGGTCAGCAGTTACAAGCTTTCTATGAGCAGAGAAATTTATTATTATGCATACCAGTAAAATGTACAATGGATGCAAAAAGTAATCTAATAGGTTGATGGAATTTTTTCATGGGAATAGACCACAAAGCAGAGAGAATGATAATTTCATAGCACAGAGTTTTGGTCAGATAACATGTGGAGGATAAGATTCTTTCAAATTCTTTCAAATGATCAAAAAATTTGATGACATAGATATAGAGAAACTATTCTTATTGATGGGCTTCCTGTAAAAGGGAACAAAAGCCGCAAAACTCAAGCTAGTTGTTCAGGACTGACATCATGAAGCACCTTATCATCCAAAAAAATGAAAATGTACAACTTCTTACATTAAGAAAACAATGGTTCAATGGGGCAATGACAGTTTTCAAGAGTGTAATTGATAGTTTTTTTGTTGGTTATGGGTATATGAGACATGAATCAAAGCTGGGGACATGGTATAATCTGCGAGGACTTGCAGAAATGCTGACTCCTCTGCTGAAGATTCAGGAGCTGGTGACTCCAGGAAATAGCACTGCAGTTATGTTATCTTTCAATTAAATTGTTCAGGTATAATTGGACGTATTTTAGACCAAGAAGTGTGAATGATGATTTCTTTTGTTCACAGGTGGGACATGAGGTATTGCTGGCTGCATTTATTGCCGAACCATTGTTTCCCTTGAGAAGGCAGTGATGAGCTGTCTCCTTGAACTGCTGCAGTCCACGTGCTGTAGGTAGATCCACATTGTCCCTTATAGAGGGAATTCCAGGATTTTGACCCAACCACAGTGAAGAAATTGTGATACTTTTCCAAGTCAGGACGGTGAGTGGCTTGGAGGGAAAATTGCAGGTGATGGTGTTCCCATGTATTTGTTGCCCTTGTCCTTTTAGATGGTAATGGTCATGGGTTTGAAAGGTGCTTTATAAGGATCTGCTTGAACATAGAGTTTCAGTGGTGCAGGAAGTGGATATTTGCGGATGTGGCACCAGTCAAAGCAGGCTGCCTTGTCCTGGATGAATATAAAGAAGTAGGCAGGGTTAAAGAAGAAGAGGATCAGACATTAGAGAGTAAGGTAGAGAGGGACACAGAAAGAGAAAGTGTGTGAGAGAGAGGGGAATAGGAAAGGAGAGAGAGGTAGAGACTGACAGGATCTGGGAAAACAAACATGATTTGGAACAAAGTCGACTTGATCAGTACCCAATCCACCACCTTAAATATTCACTCCATCCCCAATCAACATGCAGCAGATTATGCCCACAAAACGTATTGCAGCAATACACCAGAGCTTCTTCAATAGCACCTTCAAAACACACAATTTTCATCTCCCAGAAGGACAATGGCAGTAGCCATATTTATTATTCTTTCATGGTTTCTGAGCATTGGTGACAAATCCAACATTCATTGCCCATCTCTAATTGCCCCTGGAGAGGCTAGTGGTGAGTCATATTTAATGATTTCATTTGTTAGCTAGTCACTATTTTAGATAATTAAAGTTATGGGAGCTACAATATCCACAGAGTCATTGACACAGCCTTCAGCAGCTACTGGAGGTAAAACAAACAAAATGAACACCAACATGTCCTTCTCCTCGGCACCAGATCCCCAACTGGATCTGAGTTAATCTGAAAACAAAATTGAATCACTCTGAATGCGAATCTGAATTAGTTTCATAACTGTACATCAATGCAAATAGATGAGCTTCAGCAATGTGTTATGCAACTGGAGTAAAACATCCCTTCTTTTACATTCCAATCCATTTGCAATCAGCAACAATACTCCAGGCATTGATTTTTTTGTGAAACATTGATCAGAGTCATCTTCTTAGTTCACTCAGACAAAGACACCAATAGCTCTAACTCCACTCTCTACTTTATGGGCTTCCAGAAACTGGTGTATCAGATCAGGCAGGGAGTTTTCAAATCTTCATTCTGTCTCAGCAGCATCCCAGAGCCATATCTCAGAAAACATAATTCAAAAAACAAAGATAATTCCAGTTTCACCTGATAGACTAATTGGCTCTTTCCGAGACCTCAATTAGCATTTAGTAATTGCATCTGCTTGAACGTAGAGTCTATTCCGACATGCTGGAACCAATTCCCAGGTACTGACCTCATTAATAGCCAACTTCTGATATCTGTGTAAACACAATGCTCTTTCCGGGGGCTTATTGTGTCTATTAAAACCTTTTTAATTAAAGCTCAACTTGAAATTAGTCTCCAGGCCTGGCCTCAAAAACAAACAAAGCATTTTCATTCTTTTCCTTTCAGCACAAGCTGCTCCAAAATCCACAAGTCATTTCCAGCTCAATTCAAAATTGATAAAAGAATAAAAATGAAAATAATGAGAAATCAGCAAGGAGCCAATGGCCTCCAAACCATTCTCTGATTCCATTAACAGATAGGTTCGAGAGGCAGCAACACTTCAAAATGTGCTTCAATATCATTTGTGAAGGGAGTTGAGCGAACATAATGGGATAACTCTTGAGCTGGTCTCATAAGCAGCACACTGATGGACAGATAAAGACCATAACCCCATATACTGTTTGGAAGAGCAGGAACACAGTCACTGACCTGGGATAGCAACAGCAGCGAGAATGGGATAGAAAATCATTCGGGTCTGTGTGAGCTCCATTGTCCATGTGGGTTGCTACAGCAGTCAGTCACTCACACTGCAACAACCAAATCCAGTCCCAGTCTCATTTCCACTCCCAGTCCCTGTCTGGTGATGTACTGAGGGAACTGCTATATCTAAAGGTGAGTAAAACCCTACTGGGACAGGAAGAGAGAGGTGAATCTTACATCAGCCTTCATATTACTGACAGTTACACACAGCAGACTGGCAACTGCTCTCAAGGGATTGTATCATCTGTTGTTAAAGTGAGTGTCGAACTGGTGGGGAAATCTTGCAAAACTCAGCCATGCAATTCCTTTCCATGAAGTCACAAATTAACAATATTTAACGTTGAGGTGTGTAACTACATGTTTAACTATTCATGGAGGAAATTTGGACCAGGAAGATTTTGATCTTAACTACAGAGAGAGACCAGGAATCCAAGTGGTGAAGGGATACAGAGGGAGAATATAAGAAGAGAAAGATAAAGGAAGACACATAAAACTTTGAAAGACAGACTGACTCAGCCACATGCAACAAAATTAATCATTTATAGAAAAGGTGAGATCAGCTTCCAAAACATCACTCTCCTCAATTTAAGTCATAATATCCAACACAAGCTTATCACCTTCCTTTGTTACACTGTCAATATCTAGCACAAACACATCACTATCCCGTGTTACACTATTAATATCCAATGCAAACACACTGTCGTCAGCTACACTGTCAGTATCTGACACAAACACATCACTGTACTCAGTTGTAGTTAATATCTAAAACAAACACATCACTATGCCCAGTTAAACTGTCACTATCTAACAAAAATATATCACTGTCCTCACTGTCAAAAGTATCTGAAAAACATATCACTGTATTCAGTTACACTGTAAATATTCAAACCCAAGCACCATTGCCCACAGCTACACTGTCAATATGCAACACAAACTCTTCTCCGTCCTCAGTTACACCCTCAGAATCTGAGACAATCACATCACTTTCCTCTGTCACTATTCGAAACATAAACATTCCACTGTCCTTAGTTAATGTGCCAATATCTGACAGAAACACATCATCATCAACAATTATTTTGTGAGTATCCAACACAAACATGTTACTGTACTCAAGTACACTGTCAATATCCAACATAAATGAATAACTGTTGTCAGTTACATTGTCAATATCTATCAAAAATACATCACTGTTCTCAGTGACATTATCAATATATGATACAATCTTATGGCTGCCCTCTGTTACTCTATCAAAAAACCTGACATAACCATAACACTGTCCACAGTTACACTGTCAATATCCAACACAAACACATAATGGTCCTCAGTTAGTGTTAATATCTGACATAAACATATCATTGTGCTCAATTACACTATCAATACCTGACACAAATTCATCACTATTCTCAGTTATCTGTCAAACACAAGCATATTAACGTCCTCAGTTGTATTGTCACTGTCCGACAAAGACACATCAATGTCCTCAGTTATATTGTCAATATCGAACACTAACACATCATTAGTCCACACAGTCACTGTCAAAATGCGACGCAATCAAATTACTGTCTACATTTACACTGTCAATATCTAACACAAACATATTCCTGTCAGTTACAGTGAGAATATTTGACAAAACCATATCACTATTGTCAGCTACACTGTCAATATTGGACACAAACTCATCACTGTGCTCAATTACACTGTCATGATTTAACACAAAAACATCACTGCCTGCATACACGGTGAATATCTGAGAAAAGCACATCGCTGTCTTCAGTTACACTGTCAATATTCATACTCAAATTTGACGGAGAAATTCAAAAGGAAGGCCCCATCATTTGTGGTTAATTTCAGAAATTAGGGAAAGCATCAAGCTTAAGATGCATACAACTGTGTAAAGGTGAGTGGAAGTTCAGATGATAGATCAGATTATAAAGAACGTACAGAATGACTGACAGGTTAATCAGGCGGAGGATATGGGAGCATGAGAGAAAGTCAGCCAGACATATATTAACGGATAGCATTGTTTCAACAGGTATTTAAAAAGAAAAGAGTGAGCAAAATGAATGTTGGACTCCTCACGAATGAGAATCGTCAGTTCATAATAGTCAAGAAGGAAATAGCGAAAGAAATCAATAAATATTTTGCTTCTGTCTTCACTATTGAGAATGCAAAAAAGTTCCAAGAAATCAGAAGGCTGAAGGGATGGAGGAACTCAGCAAAATTACAATTTTAAGGGAAGCTTTACTATTGGTGCCGTGAGCTGAAGTCACCAGTTCTGGTTTTGAAATTTGTTGCTGATGAGGGAGATGACACATTTTCCAAATTTCCTGAAATTCAGGAAAGGTTTTACCAGACTGGAAAGTTGTAAACATAACCGCTCTATTTAGGAAGGGAGGGAGGCAGAAAAGAGGGAGCGATAGGTTGGTTAGTTTGATATGGAGAAGATAGAATCATGGATTCTATAAAGGGCAGCATGGTGGCACAGTGGTTAGCACGCTGCCTCACTGCACCAGGACACGGCTTCGATTCCACTCTTGGGCGACTGTCTGTGTGGATATTGCACATTTTCCCCGTGTCTGTGTGGGTTACCATGGCCCAAAGATGTGCAGGTTAGGTGGATTGGCCATGCTAAATTGTCACATAGTGACCAGGGATGTGTAGTTAGATATATTAACCATGGGGAAATATTGGTGGGAGGGATCTGTGTGTGATGTCCTTCAGAGGCCTTGTGTGTACTTGTTGGGCCGAATGTAGGGATTCTATGAAAGAGGCCATTTCACCCATTGAGTCTTCACTGGCCGTCCTCGGAGAATCTACCCAAACCCAGCCTCCTTCTTGTTTGGAGCAGCGGGAGCGCGAGCCAGGGTGCCGATGGGAAGGTAAGGTTTTTTCTTTCCTTATTAAAAACTCACCTCGTGCAGCAATGGCCTTCTTGTTTGGAGCAGCGGGTGTGTGGAGAGAAAGCGAGCCAGGAAGGAACTAATATGTTCGGGCATTGGTTAAACCCAAAACACTACACGTGTAGCGTCTCCCACCCATCCTCCTCCTCTAACCAAAAAAAAAAGACTGCGTGGAGGGTTGGTAAGGTAAGGCTTTCTTTTCATTCTTCTGGAAATCTAGAGTAGAGGGAATGGAAGCTAGGGCAGTTGCATGCTCCTCTTGCAGGATGTGGGAGGTAAGGGTCACTGCTGGTGTTCCCTCTGACTTCACCTGCGAGAAGTGCACCCAATTCCAGCTCCTCACAAACCGTGTTAGGGAACTAGAGCTGGCTGAACTCCGGATCATTCGGGAGGCTGAGGGGTGATAGAGAGGAGTTACAGGGAGGTGGTCACACCCAAGGTACAGGAAAAAGGTAGCTGGGTGAAGGTCAGGAAGGGGAAAGGGTATAGGCAGACAGTGCAGGGATCCCCTGTGGCCGTTCCCCTCAATAATAAGTAAACCGTTTTGGATACTGTTGGCGGGGGAACGACCTCCCAGGGGAAGGCCATAGCGGACAGGTCTCTGGCACTGAGCCTGGCCCTGTGGCACAGAAGGGAAGGGAGGAGAATAGGAGAGCAATTGTTGTGGGGGATTCAACAGTAGGAGGCACAGACAGGTGGTTCTGTGGATGCGAACGAGACCAACGAACGGTATGTTGCCTCCCGGGTGCCAGGGTCCGTGATGTCTCGGATCGTGTCTTCAAGATCCTTAAGGGGGAGGGTGAGCAACCAGCAGTCATGGTACACATCGGTACCAATGACATCGGTAGAAAAAGGACTGAGAATGTGAAAAACGAGTACAGGGAGTTAGGTTGGAAGCTGAAGTCCAGGACAAACAGGGTAGTTATCTCTGGATTACTACCAGCGCCAAGTGATAACGAGGTAAGAAATAGGGAGAGAGTGCAGCTAAACACGTGGCTACAGGGCTGGTGTAGGAGGGAGGGCTTCCATTATGTGGATAATTGGAGAATATTCTGGGGAAGGTGGGACCTGTACAGGAAGGATGGGTTGCACCTGACCGGGAGGGCACAAAATATCCTGGGAGGAAGGTTTGCTCGAGATATACGGGATGGTTTAAACTAGATTGGCAGGGGGCGGGGAACCGGATTTGTAATTCAAAGGATGAGGTATTCAGCCTTCCAACAGACACAATAAGAAATGAGATTGTTAGTAAAGAAATGTGGTCGATGGAGCATAATTGTGGACACAGAGATGGTTTGAGGTGGGTATACTTCAATGCTAGAAGTATCAGAAATAAGGCGGATGAACTTAGAGCATGGGTGAGTACTTGGAACTACGATGCTGTGGCCATTACAGAAACTTGGGTAACTCAGGGACAAGAATGGTTGTTGGAAGTTCCGGGATTTAGATGCTTTAAAAGAAATAGGGAGCGTGGAAAAAGAGGCGGGGGAGTGGCATTGCTAGTCAGGGCTAGTATAGCTGCTACTGAAAGGCAGTTCGAGAATGATATGTCTACAGAGTCAGTTTGGGTTGAGGTCAGGAACAAGAAAGGAGCAGTCACTTTGTTGGGGTTTCTTTACAGACCCCCTAATAGTTGCAGAGAAGTGGCGGAGTGGATTGGGAGGCAGATACTGGAAAGGTGCAGAAGTCACAGGGTTGTAGTCATGGGGGACTTCAACTTCCCAAATATTGATTGGAAACATTTTAGTTGTAATAGTTTAGATGGAACGGATTTTGTCCAGTGTGTTCAGGAAGGATTCCTGATACGGTATGTAGATAGACCAACACGAGGAGAGGCCACTTTGGATTTGATGCTTGGCAATGAACAGGGCCAAGTGTTAGACCTGTTGGTAGGAGAGCATTTTGGCGGTAGCGATCATAACTCTGTTACTTTTACAATAGCCATGGAAAAGGATAGGTACATGCAGCAGGGTAAGGTTTATAATTGGGGGAAGGGTAATTACAATTCTGTTAGGAACAGATGCTGTCAGGGAAGAGCACTATAGAAATGTGGAAATTGTTTAAGGAATGCATACTGCGTGTGCTCGATATGTTTATCCCCAGCAGGCAG